GACAATTTACTCGCCCAAGATGGAAATGTTCAAACTAAGTATAAGCAATTTCATCATGATCAAAGTACACGTGCGAAGCGCACGTATGCACTTACACACACGTATATCAATATATATTATTACGAACCCCCCTCTCCTTCCTTCCTTTTCTCCAACCTTATCGATAGCGAATGTAGAGGAGGATCGTAATTTGTGTTATTTTGTTTTTTTAACATTTTACATTTTTTTTGTAAAATATATTTCTTTCCCATTGATCAGACACGGCCGAGCGGAATCGATTAAGGAACAAGCATGATAGGTGACAAACAACAATGGAGACAGGAAATATAAATTTATTAACAAACATGGAACCGTGGAAAAGATAAAAATAAAAAAAATAACGGCCAAAACAAAAATGACGATATGTCAAGACTAAATATTTAAACATTGTGGACAAAATAGTGGGAGGCGAGCATCTTTTAAGAAAGGTAAAATAAAAATCAGCGTATGGCCTTGTGCCATACTGCCACGAATTTATAGAACATGTGCTATATGTGCACGGATTCATAAAACATCAACATTTTAAGACAATGTGGAAAGAAACATATAATAAAAGGATTTCATGCTAAATTTGCATGAAAGTACAAATACGAAAAAGAGGTACATTTAAACGTACATTAACGTCCGGCCAGTCCGCAGTCCTAGCGAAGACTAAATTTTTCGTTTCACTATTCGTTTCCGTTTTCTTCTTGTCACGTGGTCAATTTTCAAAATACTAACTTTTTCCCATTATGGGTGGAATGGGGTCATCGACTCCCTCTCTTAGCTTCAGGATCAGAGAAAGTTTAGTTTAAAATGTTTCAACCTATCTCAACTGGAACCTATCCTTATAAATCATGGTGTCAACACCTTGACCAAAAGAGAAGGAAAGGGGACACTCTGGTCAATCACTGTCGCCACGAAGTCTACCTTCCTTCCTTGGGTTTACTATCTTTACATTTTCTGCATGTATGGTATATTTTTTTTATGACAAATTTAGATCGGGGTTCGTAACAATATGTATATATATATATATATATATATATATATGTATATAAATAAAAAGAAAGAACAGTAAGATATAAAATCCGGTGTTCTTATAGATATTTTATTTTTACAAAATAGTGCTCAATGTAAATTTACAGAGCATTAATATTATAAATTAATTGATTTAAAATATGGTTTTTTCGCTACACAGTTCAACCATGTTTCAAAAATAGAAGCTAAAAACCCTAATTTATTTTTTTGCAAATAAATTAAAAGCATTAGTTCTATTTCATCTTCAAAATTCGCTTGAAGATGAAATAGATTTTAAATTTTTTAATTTATTTGCAAAAATAAAATTAGGGTTTTTAGCTTCTATTTTTGAAACATGGTTGGAACTGTGTAGCGAAAATAACCATATTTTAAATCAATTAATTATAATATATATATATATATATATATATGTATATATATGTATATGTGTGTGTGTGTGTGTGTGTGTGTGTGTGTGTGTGTGTACTAGGTTAAAAAGAAATCTGCGATCAGTCAGTCTTGGTATATAAACAATGCTCAAAACCCGAATGTTTTGAAAAAAACAAACTGTCAATAAAAATAAAAAAATAAATTTTCCGCATAATTTCTTTCGTCGTTTTTGCATTTCAGTGTTGAATATTAATCACATACATCAACCAGTAAAGTATGTTTTATTATTAAAATATATTTTTATTGTTCAAGTCACAATAAAACTGGCACTTATTTATTTAGTAAATAAAAAGAACAGACTATATATTACAAAAACATAACCTGACATACACATAATTTGTTTATGATATAAATATATCCTGAAAACTTTATTAACAGCGGTTGTTAATATGAATTTTATTGCGAATATAGTGAAAAGTTCAGATCGAATTTCTGGTATGTTCAAGTCCGATTCTGGAATTATTAATTCATCATCGTATATGCATATCCAGATGTAATTTTATGTTTAGTGTTCCCATTTTTTTATTTTTGGAAGATGTGTGACTACTCCTTGCATGGGCTTTCTTTCAGTATATATATAGGTCACTCTGTCGATAGGAAGTGGGGAATATTGTTTAAAGATTGAAGGCTTTAGGTCATTTATACTCCTGACCTTCAGTTTGTTTATTTTATTTATTTTCGTTTTACTTATATGTTATTTTAATTTTTAAGGAAGTATTTATTTGTTTATTTAAATGCTTTTTTGCAATCTTTCAGTTTCAAGTTGTGGTATTTTTAATAAAGTTTAATATATTTAGACTATGTGATATTATTGAGTTTTTTGAGTGCTTCTGTAGTTGCATGTAGCTTAGTAGGAATTTGTTTTCATGTCTGCATTTGGAAATAAGCCCTGAGTTTTGTGCTGCAGTTTATATTATTCTGAGATTGTGATTAATACTATGTTATCCACCAGGAAAGGTTACAATTATTTTGCGGTGCTGTTCTAAGCTGTTGTTGTTCTTATTTTCCATGTTATTCTTGTCGTATTTTGGTTTGTGCATGTGTGGTTCCATACATGTTTTGAGAATGTTGTGTTATCCACATATTTAATGTTGCTTCTCTGTTTCCAGAGTCCCTTTGTTATTCCTATATATTTTTCTGGGTTTCCTTTGGATCTTAGAATACTTTGGTACATTACATCGGTTATATATAAATGTATGTGTGTGTTTGCATGCGTACGAGTGTAATATTACTAGACACATGCATTTACATTTATATATTACAAGGAATTGAAGAGATCAATTATTTCCTTACCCATGTCCAAATTTTCAAATCACTAATTGCCTCTTACCTGAAAAGAGAAGAAAAACAAAATGAAAATCAAACAATGTATTCTGCTAAAACGTTAGCAAAACTTTTGCTAAAAATGTTTAAAAGTTAACTTTTCATATTTTAATGTAATTCATTCAAAATTATGTAACTTTCGGCTGGCCAGTTGCAAGTATCTCCTTGAAAGGTCATCTTTACAAAATTCCAATTTTCAGTATGCATGAAACCCCCTAAAAAACATATGTGTATGCTCACTTGTATGTGTGCGTGTGTGTGTATGTGTGAGTGCAAGTGTGCGTATCTCAAAACCATTCTGTAAATCATCTGTGCTTTGTCGATCCTTTTCTCTTATAATTTTATTCATCAATAAATTGGATACATATCACCTGGAACCAACATTTCAACAATTGCATTGATTGCGATTACAGCTTAACACATTCCTTAAAAATAATTCTTGAAGAGTAGAGATGTGGAGATATTTTTTGTGTTAATTCAAAAAGCAAAGGAATAGAGTTCGAAGTAATATTCCTTGAAGTGGAAGTTAAAAAATGTCAGCCGCTCATCAATTCATACAATTCCTGTTAGAATTGTTCAGATTTCCTTTCAGTTATTTCTCCTTAACGTTTCAGTTCTAGTCTTTTTTATTTACTCATGCTTGTTCGCATTCTTTTAGGTTTATATCAAACCTCCTTTTTTTCGCCACTTTATTTTGTTTGTTTTTTTTCGGTCATCCTACGTCTATTTTATACTGAACTTTTCATTATCTGTTCTATTAATTTGATATATTTTCATTCTTTCAATCATTATTTCTCGATTTCTCTTTCGGACATTTTCGTTCTTTTTTTTCCCACTGATTTGATTTTTATTATGATTATTATGATTATTATTATTATTATTATTATTGTTATTATTATTATTAGTTGTTGTTGTTGTTGTTGTCGTTGTTGTCGTTGTTGTTATATTTATCCAATTTTCTTGTTAAATAATGTTTCTTCAAAATTAAAATCAATCTCCAGCTGTCCAACAAATAAATATAAGAAGTCGAAACAACGCAGAGAAATATAAATATAAATCAAATTTTCATACTGAAATTTTCATGTGAATTGGCATGTCAATTTCTTCTCTCTCTATATATATATATATATATATATATATATATATATAGCATTTTTCATTAAATGGATATATACATTTTACTGGAACTATTATTTTCTTTTACTTGTCTGACTTTATCGTTTTTCACTGAGATGATAGAGGTGTCTCTGAAAATATGGCGATCTCTGTTTTCTGTTCTAAATTATCTATCATCTGGTAATCTTTAGAATATTTTAAACAGAGCACTACATAATCCAAGGGTGTTAGTTGTTCTCATATAATTCGTCACTGTAGTATCGCTTTCCTCTTTCATAGAAGAAGAATATATAACATTTTTGCATTACATGGGTTTAAGACATAACTGCCAGCTAAGAAGTTTAACAAACGACTTTATCTCCTAGGTCACGTGGTCTTGGAAGGTAGAGAGGCTTCATTCGTGGAAGCTTATTATTTTTAAAACGTACATCGCAACTTTGTATGTTCAACTGAATCAGTATATTTTTTACTAACTGTAGTGTGACTGTTATTCAATTTAATATTGATATTTATTCTTTGAAATTTTATTATGTCCAACCAAAATACGTGTGTTTTTTCCCAAAAGGAAAGCGAAATCTGCTCAGTAACCTGACTCTTCAACTCAAACTAGGCATATACTACAACTCATAAATTCTTGTCTCTTAACAAAGAGTAAGCTATTTAAAAACTATCCTTTGTTGAAAGGATAATTTTAAGAAATTTTCTCCAAAGATTATTTCAGTTGATGTAACATTACAAAGAAATAAATCAAGAATTAATTACTTCAATACTTTTCTTACAATTATGAATTATTTCAATCGCCAGAAACTATTTGTTTCTGGCGATTGAAATAATTCATAATTGTAAGAAAAGTATTTTATAATTATGATAATTTTATCCAACATTTTCAAGAGAATATAAAAAACAAAGTGAAAGGTGGAAAAATATATACAAAAAAAAAACATTTCAACCAAACAAAGTATAAAAAATAAGTTAAAAAAATAAAATATGGTCCATAAATTTCATATCTGTAAAAAATTATTTTAGGTCAGGTAAAATCTAAAATTTATCTTACGTCAGTAGAGGCAATGATTATCCTAAGATGAGAGAGTAAGATCTAGAGAAAGGGAAAGAGATAAAGTAAAGAAGAGAGTAAGGTAAAAAAGAGAGTCAGAGTGACAATAAAAACTGGAGTTAGAGTTAGGGTAAAGAAAAGATATAGGGTTAGTGAAATGAATAGAGATTAGGTATGAGATGAGAATTAGTGTTAGGGAAAAAGAGAGAGATATGTTAAGGAAAATAATAGTTAGGGTTGGGAATAAAGATAAAGTCAAGGTAAAGAAGTGAGCTAGAATTATGAAAAAGAATAGAGTTAAGAAGAGAATTAGGGCTACAAAAAAGAATGATAGTTTTATGGCGAGGCTAAAATTAGGGTTAGAAATAATAACAGAGTTTGGATTAGGGTTGAGAAGAGAGGTGTAGATTAGCAAAAGACAGGTAAAAAGAGAGTAAAACTTAGGTTAGAGAAGAGAATTAGAATAAAAGAAAGAGATATGGACAAAGTAGAGAAGAGAGTAAGAATTAAGTATGAGAATAGAATAATGGTGAGGGTCAAGAAGAGAGTAAGGTTTAGAGTAAAGGAAGAGCTAGTGGAGGAAAAAAAACTGGGATTTGGACAATGAAGAAAGTGGATCAGAGAAATTAAATGAAGCTAGCGAGGATCGGGATAGTGTAAAGAACAGAGGAAGTTTAAGGTAAAGAGGAGAGCTTGAGTTAGAGAGTAAGAGAGCTGTGGTTTATAGACAAAAAGAAAGACAAGAGTTAAAAAAGATAGGGAATAGAAGAGAGAGACAGAGTGTTAATATTAAGGGAGATAATATTAAAAGTTTTTATTTATTAGATTTTCTTAGTAAAATCTATAAAATAATAATAAAAGATATTTATTTTTTTAAATACGAATATTTGTTTATAGATAAAATAACAATATTTATTTATAAATAAAACAACAATATTTATTTTAAAATATTTAGAAATATTAGGTAGTTGTCAATATAAAAAAATGTTTAAAAATTAATCTGCAAACATTTTTCCAAATAGATGGTAAATTTGGAGGAATGAAAGAAGAAAGAAAGAAACAGAGAAAAATAAAGAAACATCACTTCCACACCCCACTATTTGCTTTTTTTCTGTGGACCAACCAAATTTGAAGATAGAAGCTAAAAGAAAGCAATATCCTTTACACACAAATGAAAATGGCAGAAAAATCCAGAAAGGTCAGTGTTCAAATCAAACCAATTTCCAGGTTTTGTCAAGGAAGAAGAAGAATTCAGCCAGTAAAATTACTCCCTACCCAAGACTCAGGGATCATCAATAAGTGGCAAAATATATAATTGAAGAATAATTATTCAGTTCATAAGAAATATAATTAAGATTTTTTATAAATATAGATTCCCTTTTACTCAGGGAAAACAACTCTTTAACAGAGCCAAGATATGCAAAGATTTGACATTTAATGTACCAAGTAATTTAAGGTATGTGAAAACCTTTATGTAAATTCCTAGACCATGACTATTCAATGCCTAAGAGAAAATTGGGAATTTATAAACTTTTTTCATTATCTTAAAGGAAAAGTCTAACATTCTCTGGTACAATAATTTGTGCTTCTTCTCTTCACCTTCTTCTTCTCCCCACCCCTATTAATTTAATATTTATCTTTTCAATAGTAATTATCTTTATATTAGAAGTTTATTATTGTTAAAAAATTTTTTTTCAAAATATAAGAAATATTGAGAAAGAAGTTGTATAGTTAGTGCAAACAAAACGAGCTAGGTGAGAAAGAGCAAGTGTTATGAAACGGATAAAGTTAGGGTTAGAGGAAGGAAAACAGGCTAGGGTTATGGCAAAAAGGTGCTAGTGCTAGATTAAAAACATCTATGGTTATCAGATATACAGAGGTGTAGACTTAGAGTAAAGAAAATGATCTTTGGTTATAAAAAGAAGTATGGTGAGGGTTAAAGTAAAGAGGTAAAGCTATGAGTGCAAAAAGAAGAGTGGAAGGAAGAAGTTTAGGGTTAAAGTGCAGAAAAATAGTTTATTAAAAGAAGCTTGGTAGAGTAAGAGTGTTAAAAAAGTTATCGTTATATAAAAAGAAAGCTAAGTTCAGAGTAAAGCAAGGGAGTTAAGCTTATGAAAAGAAAATAGTTATGGTTAGATTAAATAAGGAAGCTATGTTTATAATGATGATATATAGTTTGTGTTATTAAAAAAATAGTGCAAGGGTTTGAGTAAAAAAGATAGATCTATGTTTATGTAAAGAGAGCAAGGGTTAAAGAAAAAGAGCTAGCGTTAGGTAAAGTTATGAAAAGAGATCTAGAGTTATAGTAAGGAAAAAGAGCCAGGGTTTAAGAAAAGAAAAGACATGGGAAAAGTACAAAAAAAAGCTAGGTTTAGAGTAGAGAAAAATAGATGAGAATAAAGAAAAAGAGTATTAGTGTTAGAGTAAAGTAAAAGGTTTGTTAAAAAAGAGATATGGTTAGAAGTTAAAAATGTGGGTTTGAACAAAAAAAAGCAAGCAAGGTTATGAAAAGAAGAGGGAGTGGATTAAAAAAGACCTATGTTTATGAAAAGATGAAAGTTAGCATTAGAATAAAGAAAAATGCTGGAGTTATAAAATGAAGAGTTCAAGATTTATAGTAAAGAAAAAAGCTAGTTATAAAACAATAGAATTGGATTAATGAAAGAGAAATCTAGTGTTAAGAAAAGATGAGAGTAAGGCTTATAATAAAGAAAGGGAGATACAAAATAAAGTTTCGGTTATGAATAGGAGAAAGCTATGCTTAGAGTAAAGAAAGAGAATTAGCGATATGAAAAGAAGATTTAGAGTAAAGAAAAATAATAAAGAAAAGAACACGAGCTAAGGTTATGAAATCTAGAATGTTAGTTTCAGAGTAACAAAAATGATCAAAATTTATGAAGCAAAGTAGCTAATTTTAGAGTAATCAAAGAGATCTATGGTTATGAATTGTGCGTTATTTCAAGAGTAATGAGAAAGACGTACACTTCTGAAAAGACGAAAGCTCTGATTACAGTGAAAAAGTGTTTTGGTTATGAAAAGAAGAGTAAATTAAAACAAGTAGGGTTAATAAAACAAGAGAGATGAGGCTAGAAGAATTAACTTTAGCTAGGTTTATGGAAGAAAGAAAAGTAAAAATAGCTAAGATTGTGAAATACTAGCATTATAGTAAAGGAAAGTGCTTGTGTTAGGAAAAAGGAGAGATAGTGTCCGAGTGAATAAAGGGAGATAGTTTTGAAAAGGAGAGAGACCAGTTTAAAGTAAAGGAATAAGGTAGTTTTATGAAAAGAAGACAGCTACAAGTAACAAAAGAGCAGTGGTGTTATGAAGAGAAGAGTGTGAGAGAGTAAAAGAAGGAACCCATTGTCATGGGAAGACAAATGCTAGAGTCAGAATAAAGAAATTGTAGTAGAGTGGGTGAAATTGGATATATTGTATTTCACACATATTTTAACTAACCAGAGTTCCTTCCACCCCTTGGCAGATTCTTGCATTTACACAAATAATATTTTGAATAAAATAGTAATTCTAATCATATGGGTTGATGACATCCTCATTGCTACCAATGCTAAATTTGCATTAGTCAGTGTAAAAAAGAACAATTCCAAATGACTGATCTAAGACAGATTTCTTTCTTTCTAGCTATAAAATCTACATTTAAAAACAACTTGATTGAGTTGAAACAATTACAATATATAGAAAAGATTATAATCAAACTTGCAATGCAAGACTATAAACCCTGATCAACTCCTTATGAAATGGATATAAACATACTGAATGAAAGTCAGTACTGAACAAGTAAATGAAAAATATTAATGCAAAATATGTTTGTCTATATTTCTGAGATGAGGTATTATGTACAGTATTTACATTAGTCGGACTATTGTCCTCATCTTTGTCGCCATATTTGTCACAACGTTTCGGCCGTTGTACGCTCCGGCCTTCTTCAGGTGGTTGGAATTTCGAACTGAACCCTTTATTTCGATCACTGGGGTAGACTGTTCTAGTTCCACGTGCCATGTTTGATGGATGTCAGTTATCAGTTATCTCCTGCTAATTTTCCCTCTGAAAGTTCTCCACTGCCTTAACCAGGAATTGAACTCACCTTCTTTGGGTCTGTCACTGGATCTAACCAACGCCTTTATCCACTGTGCCATGTGTCCTTGAGGACATCTGGGTATGAACTTCTGAGTATTATAAACCTAATGTTTTCAGCATCATTTTTACCAGTGCTCATATTGCAATTTTTTGCTGTTATCATTGCATGTCTTTACCAGAGTTCATATTGCAACTTTGTTATCATTGCTTTTCTCTGGCACTCCTTATTACTGGTTCCCATATTGTATTTATTTCTATGCTTGGTCGGCTCAGGAGATTTTTGTGGCCTAGCATATGTGCTGATTCCTTAAGTTTACGAATTTTCCAATGGTGTTCCCTGTCTATGATCTCAACATGATCCCACAGGGGCGGTGATCTCCTTCTCTCTCCATATGTGGTCAGCCACGCCTGATTTTTCTACTTCCCTCGCGTTACAGCTTTCTGGTGTTCTTGAAGCCTTACCTTGAGGGGGCGGCCTGTCTCTCCTTTATATTCCTTTCCGCAGCTGCATGGGATAGCGTATACACAGTCTTTAGTCATGTTCCTCTCTATGGGGGGGTCTCACTCGTGAGAGATACCTGCGAAGTGTTGTCACGCTTTTGAAGGTTGTCCTGATGTTATATGGACCGCAGATCTTTTTGTATTTTCTCTGATAACCCCTTCACATAAGGCAGGCAGACTGTTTTCTGAGTGTTGTTGTCCTCCTCCTCCTCCTCCTCTTGTACCCGCCTATCCCAGTTTTTTGGGGGCTGCTGCCATGTACCCAGGGTAGTTGTTGCGTTGTAGGGTACTACTTATACTGACCAATTCCTTATCTAACGTCTCTGGATCGCCACTTATGACTTTTGCTCGATGTTGTAAGCATCGGACGATCCCTTTCTTTACGCTGTATGGATGGTGGGAGTTGAAATTGAGGTACTGTCCGGTGAATGTTGGTTTACGGTATACGGATGTCTTGAACCCATTCTCTGTTCGAGATATTAGTACATCCAGGAATGGGAGTGAGTTGTTACTCTCTTTCTCCATTGTGAACTGTATCGAAGGTCTTATTGAGTTCACATGGTCCAGAAGAACCTGGACTTCTTCCTGATGTGGCCAGAGTATGAAAGTGTCATCTACGTACCGTAACCATATAGTTGGCTTTAGCGATATAGACTCTAATGCCATTTCTTCAAAGTATTCCATATATATATTCGCCATTGCTGGTGATAATGGCGAGCCCATTGCTAAGCCCTCATCCTGTCGATATATGTGAGATCCCATTCCGAAGTGTGTTGTTTGTGTACAGAAAGTCAACATCTCCATCAGATTATCTATTGGAATACTGGTCCGCTCCTCTAGGGAAGAGTCAGAGGTTAATCTATCTCTGACTACTGAGAGTGCCTCCTCCGTGGGTACCTTGGTGAACAGACTCACCACGTCCAAGCTCACCATCTGGTTGGATAGAATGGGAGCATCTTTGATTATTTCCACGAAGTGGGCGGAGTTTCGGACATATGAAGGAGACTTTCCGATCAATGGGTCAATTATATCTACAAGGAAGCGACTCAGAGGGTGGCACACAGAGCCTTGGCAACTAACAATCGGCCTGAGTGGAATACCGTCTTTGTGAATCTTAGGGAGACCGTATATGTGAGGTAACTTGCTGTAACGCTGCGATAACTGCCTATACGTCTTGGGTGCGAAGTGATCCTTGTTCTTGATTAGGATCTGTGACAGTTTGCGTTCCGTTTTCATAGTAGGATCTTTCTTCACTATGCTGTAGCTACCATTGCTAATGAGGTCTTCCAGTTTTCTTGTATAGTCCGGTTTGTCCATCACTACAGTCGCATTACCTTTGTCAGCCGGTAGTATGATGATGTTCTCATTCCTCTGTAGTGATTCAATCGCCAGTCTCTCCAGTTTTGTTATGTTAGACCTGGGCAGCTTGGCTCTCTCAAGGCCTGTCTCACTTTCCATCTCATTTCATCCGCCTGAGCCTGAGGGATGTTCAAGGCCACCTCCTCTACTCTGGCAATGATGTCCAAGTATGGCACCCGCCTGATGGTTGTGGCGAAGTTGAGACCCTTATTCAATACTGACTCCTCAGAGGCACTCAGCTGATATTGGCTGATGTTGACTACTGCTTTCACTGGTGGGTGATGGACCTTGTGCGTCACCTTCTGATCTTTCAATCTATTTAATTTTTTGCACTTGGCGAGCCTTGACTACTTCAAATTCATGTCTGAAGGATTTATCCAGGTCATTTTGGATCCTTCTCTGGTCTTCTTCATTGGTAATTCTGTTGAAGAGATCCTCGAGCGTCTGGGAGATATGAGCATGTACTCGATGTTTCATCCAACGTTTTGTACTGGATTCTCTCTCGGACAAGGGCGTGTCCCGCTTTCTCTGCGACCCGACGAGCTCTCCTTGAATTGATAGGAAGTCTTGGTGCCAAGCCTGAAGGGATGAGTTGTAGGTCTCTGCATCGGTGTAGGAATGTCAGATGGTTCGATATTCGTGCCAGTTTTTGGTAGGATTTCTCAATTTTTCTCCATATTTTTGGTATATCGGGTCCGTACCGATCCTTCAGAGTTTGTCTATATTTCTGAGATGAGGTATTATGTACAGTATTTACATTAGTCGGACTATTGTCCTCATCTTTGTCGCCATATTTCCAACCACCTGAAGAAGGCCGGAGCGTACAACGGCCGAAACGTTGTGACAAATATGGCGACAAAGATGAGGACAATAGTCCGACTAATGTAAATACTGTAATGCAAAATAGTTGGTAGTCTGATATATATTATGACAGCAACTCATCCAGATATATGTTATGTTGTAAGAGAATTATCGCAATATTCAGCAAAACTGACCATGGGTCACTTAATAAGGGCCAAACAAGTGCTACGCTATTTAAAGGGCACAAAATATTGTCTAGTGTTTAATAGATCTAATGAAACATTAAGTTTGTTACATTGATTGGGTAAATTCAAAAAGATCAATAATCAATGTTTATGATTACTTGAAAAACAAGAAAACAACCTACAGTAGCATTGTCAACAAGTAAAGTGGAATATTGTTTAAGTAAAATGATGATTACTTCTAACTTAAAGGGATTTCAAGTTATGGTAAAAACTGAGTTGGGTTTAGTTTAAAGAAGGTAGTTCCTGTCATGTAAAGAAGAGAGTTTGGTTTGCAGTATAGATGAGATCTTGAAATAGAGAGAAAGAGAATATTATTTAGGTAAAACAATAATTGTATCTAGCTTAAAGTGATTTCGGATTATGGTAAGCAATGAGTTCATGTTAATGCAAAGTGTTGCAATTTTTGGTAAAGAAGAGGGTTGGGATTCAGATTACGGTATAGAATACAATTAGTGTTCAGGTGAAGAAGGAGAGTTCAGCTTAGGTTACGAAAATGAGTTCGTTTTAGATTAAAAAGAGTTAGGGTTAACGCCAGGTCAGAACTAATAAAACTGTTCATTCTTCTTTGGATTTTATTAAGAATATCTAAATATATAGCAGGAGCACCAGACCATATGTGGCAGTAATATTCGAAACATGGACGAATGGGAAGCTTATAAATATGCAAGATAGATTCTAGAGAGAAAAATTGTCTAGCACGAAAAAATGAATTAACTTTCCTAGCAACAAATCTAACAATTGATTCAATATAATCTTTACACTTCATATCAGCAGAGAACGTTAACCACCAGAAAAGGCGCAGTGAGTCATTTTCCTGGAGGTTAGTATCAGGCATACTGATGGAAGGCAGAGTGGGGTCTCTCAGATTATTAACAGAAAGCAGTTTTGTTTTGGAGGCGTTAAATTTAACAAGCATTCCTTGACCTAGTTAAGAGCAGATTTTAGGTCACATTTGAGATCAGCTGTCAATTTTACCTTATCGAACCGATCAGACTTAGTATTATTACCTATTTCTTTACTAGCGCAGGGCCCATAAAAAATGACGGAATTATATATTTAGCAATTATAATTAATTAAACAATTATATTATACAAATATCCACATAGACATCAACAATAACACTTCTAACATCAACAACACAAAATCCATAATTCTACCCTCTAACACTCTATCTACAAAATTTTAAAATAAATTACTTATCCAAGACAATCGGAGATATATTTGGGAATAAATCAGTTGCAATGTAAAAACACTTACATCGGCGTGACATCTCAGAATATATAAAAGGTATC